CATGCTATTCAGGTCATATCTTTTCATAATTTCATTCTTCACTCTCTTCAGGAACATTTCTGACTTCAACCATCGCTTCTCGGCTCCTTGGAGCTAAAATCAAAGTGTAGTGTCTGTTCTTATCAGTTTAATCTCTTTTGATGAACACTTACAACACCTGCTCTGAAGATGGATTCTCCTGCTGCCATTTTTGAAAAAAATCGATGCTGCTTTGAAGATGTATTCTGCTGCATCTTCTTTGGAAGAAAATCCTCTCTCTGCTCCTGAGACATCCCCAGCTGCATCGTGTACCACTACGGCTGCTGCTCCACGGAAGGTCTCTTGGACAATGACTATGAAGAAGATCCTAGGTGCCTCCAGGACATTGCAGACCAGCAGCACGAAGGGGAAGAACGGTGCCTCCTCGAAGGACCCTCTCTGAGATGCTGCTCCAGAAAGATCCTGCATCCTGAGGCTGGCCTGTCAGGACATCACAACCAGAAGGAACATCCTGCCCCCGACACCGCAGCAGCACCAGCTGCCGAGGGATAGCCCCCGCACTTTCCAGGAGCTGCCAACGGAGAGCCCCCCGGCTCTCGAGCAGCACCAGCCGCCAATGGAGAGCTCCCCTGCTCTCCAGCTGCAAGATGCTCTGAGGTGACCACCTCCCACCCCTGCAGCTGCCCAGGTCCCTGACACTGGTGGTGCTCTCGCTGCTCTACACACCACCAAGGAAGGAATCCCCACAGACGGGACCAGCATCTCTCCAGAGACCATCCAGAGGGTCACCAGCACCTTGCCGGATGCCTGCCCAGCCTCAGGAACCACCCAGAGGGACCCCAGGACCTTGCCAGATGCCCACCCAGCCGGACCTCTCGACCCCACCCGCCCACACCAGGAAGAACCAGCCAGCGATACCGCCAATGCTGCTGGAACCCCCCCGCTGCAAGGTAATGAGGACACCATCTACCTGCAGTACCCCCTCCCTGCGGATGTGCTCATCTGTCCCATCTGCTCTCCACCCCGAAGCTTCCACCTCCTCGGTGGCATCACCAGGCACCTGAAGAAATGCCACAACAAGCGGGTCGCCTTCAGCTGTGCCCTCTGCAGTCTGCCCTTCACAGAAGCAAGCAGAAGCAACGCAAGAAGCAACGCAAGAAGCACCAAGTCGCCTGCAGGAAATGCCTCAAGGGAACAACACAGTCTCCTGCCCCGGCTCCCAGCCCTTCTGCTGCGCGCCGGCCCGCTGCTCCTCAGCCTCAACAAAGAAAACCTACCTTGCAAGCTGCCGTCAAGAAGCCTGCCCCTGTCACCAGGCCAGTGGAACAGGATGCTGCAATCGAGAAGGTACCTGCTGCCTCGGGGAACATTACCCAGGTCCTCGCCAGCAGGAGGCCCGTCTCACCCTCCCATGTCGCCAAGCAGATCCCCATGCTGAGACGACTCAGTGCTACCTTGCCACCTGTCCAGCACGTCCCCGTCCCCAGAAGGATCAGTGCCCCACCGCGCATAGCTGCTCGAGATCCTGTCACTGGAAGAGCCAGCGCCACCCCTCGGACTGCCCTGCGAACTCCAACTGCTGGAGGAGTGAGAGCCAAGCCTCAGACCACCCTATGAGCTCCAGCAGCCAGAGGAGCCAGTGCCAAGCCTCAGACCGCCCTGCCAGCTCCAACCATCGGAGGAGCCAGTGCCACACCCCAGACCACCCTGCGACCTCCAGTCACCGGAGGAGCCAGCGCCCGCCCCAGATCGCCCTACAAGCTCCAGATGTCACTGGAGGAACCAGCCCCGCAGCCACACCAAAGCACCAGGCCTTCATTGCCAGACGGACCAGCACGGCCCCCAAGTCCATTCTGTGGGAGACTGCTTACGGGAGATCTCACAGTCCAGCGGCAACTGCCCAGGCAGCAGCCACTCATAGAAGGACCAGCGGTGTCCCAGCAACCCCCGAGCCAGACTGTGTCTCTCCGACCACTAGCAACGCCAGCATCCCGCCAGAGATCCCGCCCCAGCACCCAACCGAAGGGAATCCTGACCCACGAGATAGACGGCAGGCCGACCACGCAACAGGCTCAAAGCCTGCAACAGATGAGGTTGAGGACCCTGAGGACCAGCAGCCAATGGTGAGGGCTGCCACTCTGTGGCAGACCGCCTGGACTGAGGAGCTACAAGCGGCAGCTTCCTTTGACAACTTCGACCGCCTCGTAGACAGGCTAACCTGAGAACTGTCTGTGGAAATCACTCCCAGGAGGAGTTCAAACCAGGAGAACGCCTCGCCTTCCCACAGAACGCCTGCTCCGAACCACACCACCACCACCAGGGGAGCCAGAAGTAGAGATGCCAGTTGCCGCTACGATCCAGCAGCGGCTTCAAGGATTCAAAAGCTGTACCGGGCAAACCGCTCCAAGGTCATGAGGGAGATCCTAGACGGGCCCTCATCCTACTGCACGATCCCATCTGAGCGTCTCTACAGCTACTTCAAGGATGTATTCGACCGCATAGCCCAGGACGATGTGCAGCGCACAGAGTGCCTCCACCCCCTACCCCGTGTTGACGAAGCTGGTGTCCTGGAGACTGACTATACACCCAAGGAAGTGATGGCCAGACTCTCAAAAACAAAAAACACAGCTCCTGGGAAAGACAGCATCCCTACAGCCTCCTGAAAAAGCAAGATCCCAGCTGCCTGGTCCTCGCCACGCTCTTCAACCAGTGCAAGTGATTCTGCCAGACTCCCAGCTCCTGGAAGAAGGCCATGACAGTGCTGGTGTACAAGAAGGGTGAGTGGGATGACCCCAGCAATTGGAGACCCATCTCCCTCTGCTCCATGATGTACAAGCTATATGCCAGTTGTCTGGTGTCGCGGATCACGGCGTGGTCGGTGAGCTGGGGAGCCATTAGCTCCATCCAGAAAGGCTTCATGTCCTGCAAGGGCTGCTGTGAACACAACTTTGTCCTCCAAACCATCATTGAAATGGCCAGAAGGGCTCGGAGGCAGTGCGCAGTAGCGTGGCTCGACCTGGCTAATTCCTTTGGGTCCATGCCCCACCACCACATCTTGCGATCTCCAATGGCACAGATGGCTTCAACCTCCATGGTGAGAGGGTGAGCGTCCTGGCTTACGCGGACGACCTGGTCCTGACCGCGGATGACCCAGAGAGCCTCCAACGTATGCTAGACGCCACCAGTTGAGCTGCCGACTGGATGGGGTTCCGCTTCCATGCAAAGAAGTGCGCAACTTTCCACGTCGACGGCAGCCAAAGGGACTCGGTGCAGATGATGGGGTTCCAGATCCAGGGCAAGCCCGTCATCCCCCTGGCAGAGAGGCAAGCATACCAGCACCGCGGCATGCCGACGGGTTTCCATGTCCGGCAGACACCCAAGGACACCATCCAGGAGATCTTGTAGGATGCCGCCAAGATCGACGCCTCCCTGCTAGCACCGTGGCAGAAGATAAATGCCCTGAACACCTTCCTGATCCCCTGCATCTCATTCGTCCTAAGGAGATCTGCTGTGGCAAAGGTACCCCTCAACAAGGCAGACAAGATCGTCCGGCAGCTGGTGAAGAAGTGGCTGTTTCTTCCCCAGAGAGCCAGCAATGAGCTGGTCTAAATTATGGCATGGCGGTGCCAACGTCCACCACATGGGCGACCTGTGTGACATTGTGGTGATCACCCACGCCTTCCGCCTGCTGATGTGTCCCGATGTCATGGTACGGAACATCACGGCGAACGCCCTCCATGACGCGACAAAGAAGCGGATCAGCAGAGCCCCCTCCAACCAAGACATAGCCACCTTCCTGAGCGGTTCCCTGGATAGCGAATTCAGACGGGATGGGCGCGACATCGCTTAACTGTTGTCCCGTGCTCGCAACGCCACGTGTTGCCTGTGGAAGTGCATTGGCTGCCGCTGGAAGTGGTGAGAGGAGCGCCAGGAGCTGGGAGTCCGGGTGCTGCAGATCAGGTCCAACGACAACACCATCATCACCCGAGCACCAGGGGCATGCTGGAGAGGACCCTGAAGGCAGCCATCCACTCACTGTACATGGAAACCCTGAAGCATAAACCGGACTGGGTAAAGCCTTCGAACTGACCAGCAAGTGGGATGCAAGCAACCACTTCCTTGCTGGGGGCTGCTTCACCCGTTTCGCCGACTGGAGGTTCATCCACCGTGCCCGGCTCAACTGCATCCCGCTCAACAGAGCCATCCGCCATGGGAACTTAAACAAGAGTTGCAGGAAGTGCGGCTACTCCAACGAGACCCTGCCCCACATTCTGTGCGGCTGCAAGCCCCACTCCAGAGCCTGGCAGCTGCGCCACAATGCCATCCAGAACTGCCTGGTGAAAGCCATCGCACCACGCCTGGGGGAGGTTGCCGTGAACTGCACCATCCCTGGTACTGACAGCCAGCTGCGCCCTGACGTGGTTGTCACCGATGAGGCCCTGAGAGCGAAGGGCTACGAGGTGCAGATGGATGCCCTGATCGTTGGAGCCCTGGGCGCTTGGGACCTCTGCAATGAGCGTGTGCTGCGGACCTGTGGGATCGGTCGATGCTACGCACTGCTCATGCAGTGCCTCATGGTCTCAGACACCATCCGATGGTCCAGGGACATCTACATCAAACACATCACCAGCCACCGACAGTACCAGGAGGTGTGAGCCGGAACGACATCGTGCATCAACTACAAGAAAGGGACCGAGAGACTTTTTCCATTGGACCATATGAACTGGAACCATAATTTCACTGAACATTATATTGCACCAAATGAGGGTAAATCCATCCTCATCATGGTATCCACTCATTATACTCCACACCTGAACATGGCCATTATATGAACAACATACCCTCATATCTCAATGTCTGTACTTTGACCTGTTAACCTTTTACCCCCAATTGGGGAGATTGCAGATTATGTATTCCTTATGCCACCCGATCCTAAACCGAACTTCACACCCTTTGATAATCTGTACGTTATTCCCTGATAACCAGACACTTCTATGCTTAAACTCTGTACCGTTTTCTTTTTATTTTAACATCCTCTTAACAAAATTATTAAATCTATTCTTATCAGTTTAATATCTGCTATGTCCTTTATTTGAGGACTGTATATTGAATTGATTTTTGAAACAGGGGGATAGAAGAGGAGCTTGCTCTGTCCACCCCATGCATTGACCTGGTATTGCAGGGTCTCCTGGAATGGTGCATTTTTAATTTTTTTTAGAGGGGAGGGATAGCTCAGTGGTTTGAGTATTAGCCTGCTAAATCCAGGGTTGTGAGTGCAATCCTTGAGGGGGCCATTTAGGGATCTGGGGCAAAAATTGGGGATTGGTCCTGCTTTGAACAGGGGGTTGGACTAGATGACCTCCTGAGGTCCTTTCCAGCCCTGATATTCTATGATCTTTCTTTTGCTTTTTCTTTAATCCCTGCACATTGCAGCACCATTCTCAGAACACTTTCAAAGTCTTCTATCAAAAAGATTTGAAAACTACTTTTTTTTTAAACCACCTTATTCAGACCTGAGCAAAAACTTCAAATCCAGACTCCAGTGAGAGACTGCTGAATTGGAATTCATTTGCAAATTGGATACAATTAACTTAGGCTTGAATAGAGACTGGGAGTGGCTAAGTCATTATGCAAGGTAACCTATTTCCCCTTGTTTTTTCCTACCACCCCCCCCCCCCCGATGTTCTTGTTAAACCCCGGATTTGTGCTGGAAATGGCCCACCTTGATTATCATACACATTGTAAGGAGAGTGATCACTTTAGATAAGCTATTACCAGCAGGAGAGTGGGGTGGGGGGAGGTATTTTTTCATGCTTTGTGTGTATAAAAAGATCTTCTACACTTTCCACAGTATGCAGCCGCTGAAGTGAGCTGTAGCTCACGAAAGCTTATGCTCAAATAAATTGGTTAGTCTCTAAGGTGCCACAAGTACTCCTTTTCTTTTTATAATTTACAGGAATTACTTCATGCATGACTTAAATGCAGTGAAATGCAAGCTGTTTAAAAATGCACATATGATGTATTCCAGAACGCCATTGTACCCACAAAGTTGCTTGACGTCTTGTTGAAGGTCTTTGGCTGAGAAGCCATCATACACCAATCTAGGGCCATCAACTCTGATGTCCTCAACTGCTGGCACAGTTTCAGGAAACATTCAATTTTCTACATAGTGATGCCAGTGTGACTGGTAGAACTGCAGCTTCTCAGCCTGGGTGCATGGCAAAAGGAGGGAGACTATATTTTAAGGGAGGAATTGCTTCTGTGAAGGGGTTCAGACTATTGCCATGTGTAAAGTGGGACATGCAGAAGAGAGGGGACACGAGAGACTCCATCTAGCCTGAAATGCTGACAAAACTTGGACTCACAGCAGGGTTAAGAATAGACTAGGGACAGGTGCATCTCACAGCTTTTATTATTTTTTGAAGATCTGTAGAACTTTTAAAGAGTAGATAGACCATGGTTAAGAAATTCCTTTGCTAAGCCTATGCACCTTCTTTCCTGACATTTAGTCCCTGAACAGGTTAAACGAGAGACCACAGCCTAAGCAGAACTCTGAGGGACTGTGTGTAAGCAACAGAGGAACTGGTTCTAGGATTTAGGGAGGCAGGACTGCAGAGTCCCACCTCCCAAGGAGAGGCTCAGATGAAAGGTCTTAGATCAGCAATGTGCCTTGCAGACCCCAGAGCTAGGAACAATGACTAGCCTCTGCCCAGACACAGCTGGCTTGAAAGCACATGGAATCCTGTGGTTAGGTGCATTTGCAATAGACTGCTGACCATTTTGGGGAGGACTGGGGTAGGTTGTGACAGCATGCATGGAGCATGGCTTTTTAAGGAAGTTAGTGGGTTAAATAACATGTCATGTGCAGAACGGTTTGCACATGGGATTGATGTATCTAGCGCTAATTAATTCCAATCCAGAACACTTTTTCAACTGGATAATAAAATGACATGGAGAATGATCTGGATCTGAAGTAGTCTATGAAAGTTGGTAATGTCAAGGATATTCATCCATCTTTTATAAGCTCACAGGAAACAAAAATGAAATCCTCTTTTTCATATTGGCAAGTGAACTTTTTATAACTTTATAGCCATTGCTTCATAGTGAAGTGCTGTTGTAAATGGTACTCTGCCCATGAAGGATTTTTTTACTCCATTAATCTAGAGGTAACAGAAGTTTTCAGGCACAGACATACAGTTGTTTCTGTGGGCTTTGGTACATTCATGCATTTGATTTGGACACAGTAGGAAAAGGTTCCAGTTCAGAAATGAAAAGGATTTTTCTAAACTAGGTTAGCTTCTAGAGACATGAATGTGCTGTCTGGGCACAAGTCAATGACCAGATTCATTCCTGGTGTACTTCATTCACTTAAACAGAATTACAGTATAGATGAACTTGGCCCAGCGTCTTGTACTATAACTTGGTTATTTGATCTAACATAAAATATATCACCACTTTGAAGAGGAAAAAAGTGTGTTATTAATGATTCTTTGGGAGAATTAAAACTCTCATTACACATCTGTTTACATTTTCAGACACTTAAAAGCATTCATCTGTGGCTTCCCAAATCTGTGCACATTAGTGTGAACTCCATGGGCAAAGAAAGTAATCACAACCTTAAACCAATAAACAGCCCAGTAGTAACTGGTTCAGTGCAATCCTGTAAGGGCTTCTGTAAAGTCCTCATACTAAGCGGGTAGGCTGACCATAGCCTTGCCCCAAATATTGTTAAAAGGATTTGGCCACATAACTGAGGTACCATCTCAGCTAGATCATAAGTCAAAGGACACATCTTTGACTTCATCCATCCTTGTCCTTGGGTTTTGGGCATCCAAGCCATTTGGATAAACATCAGACACAAGATCACGATATTGGAGCTAAGACTTCCAATAAACACAGGGCTATGTGAAGTGAAGCAGCTGATGCCCTGCACGCAGCCCTCTGCCCCACCCCCAAGATGATTTGTGGATGAGTGGATTGCTGTCAGGTATAGACATACTGCCCATGCTCTTGATCTGCCCATGCGCACACCATCCATGGTGAATTATGGTAACCCACCCAAGGGATTTTACACCCCTGCTACAAAGTGCAGTCAAACCAGGAAATCTCTGTAGTGTGCAGTGAGGTACAGAGTGCCCTTGGGGAATGTTTTCCTTGCTTTGACTGCCCTTTGCAGTTGACCTGTAACTTTAAAACTGATTTGACCCTCCGGGGTCTGACATGTAAGCGTAAGATGGAATCTCAAACACTTTCATCAAAGATGTGTGAATTGCCATGCCATGGGAACTGGAAAAATTAGAGGCCCTGATCCTGCAGACACTTAAGAATTTAGGGCTTGTCTACAGCAAGTTAATCTAGTTTGAAAACAGTTGCATACACATGCTGCAATCCATCATTGAGCACTAACTCTGCATTTGCTGTGAACTCTGGAGTGCCCTTGTCAAGTGGACTATGCTTGCTGCGAATGGAATTAATGTGGTCTATGGTTCGTGTGGATGTAAGTGTTGTGCACTGCTTTTTGCCACGTGTCCAATGGCTATCTCACAGTGCTCTGCAGGTCAGCCATTACTGACGCATCCGTTCACTTGTCTGCCTTCCCCTGCTCTGGTGTCAAGTTCCCAGGACGTCCCCCTCCTCTCTTTAAATGCTGGCACAAAGCCAGAAGTTGCCCATTTGCTTCTGGATCCAGATGTGTCAGCAATCCTGTGATATAAAGAGAGTAGCACTCCAGAAGGCCCACAATGTGACTGGTGCAGCTGCTTAGAGAGGTGCTGAGACCCTGGATCTCATTGCCATCTGGGGAGAAGTATAGTGCAGGAAGCACTTGTGGCCAGCCATGGAATAAAGATCTTTTTGTGGGCATTGCCAAGCAGCTGTGTGAGCGAAGCTACGATCAGGATACCAACCAGTGCTGGATAAAGAGCAAGCCACTCAGGAGTAAGTACACTGAAATGAGGGACAAAAGCAGACAATCTGGCAGAGGACATATGACCTGTCTATTTTATGAAGTTCTCAAGGAACTCAAATATGAAATTGCAGAAATACTTAGTGTGGTATGTAAACTATCATTTAGATCAGCCTCTGTACTAGATGACTGGAAGGTAGCTAATATAATGCCATTTTTTAAAAGGGCTCCAGAGGAGACCCTGGCAATTACAGGCCATTGAGCCCTAACTTCAATACTGGACAAATTGGTAGAAACTATGGTAAGGAACAAAATTATCAGACATACAAATATGATTTATTGGGGAAGAATCTAAATGGCTTTTGTAAAGAGAAGTCATGCTTCATCATTCAATTAGAATTCTTGGAGGGAGTCAACAGGCATGTGGATAAGGGTGATCCAGTTGATATAGTGTACTTGGACTTTCAGAAAACTTTTGACAAGGTCCCTCACCAAAGACTCTGAATGAAACTAAGTAGCCAAGGGATCTCACTCAATTGGGTGATATACCTGAGACACATTGATGATATTTTCATCCTCTAGAAGATCGCACTGGCTGAGAGATGGAAGCAGTACATGGTGACCCAGAGGGAAAAAGAATTGCAACTCTCCCAGGCGATCATGGCAGTGGCCAAGGAAAGCAAAACCATGACAAAGGAGATCTTGGAAAAAGATAGGGAGCTGCAAAGGCAATTCATGGTGCTATCCTGAGCCAGAAGACTCTTACAAAACATCCTCCTGCTCAGCCAGGAGGCCTTGCAATCCTGTTAGTTAGAAGCCAGCCCTGTCCTTTAGCCCCTGGGCAAAACTGGCTACAGGGACCAGCAGTAACTCCTCCCCATCATACCCATGCAGCACTTTTCCCAGAGGCCATTCCCCATTAAGGGACCAACATCTGCCCACTGAAAACACTGGCTCCTAGTAGGCCAGCACTCCTGATCCCTACAAAACACCAGAAAACTTCAAGCTGAGCCATTCAACTCCAGAATCCCCATGAATAAGAAGAGGCAGAGGGAAGACCTACACCTTCTTCTAATTTTAAGTGCCTCCCCTCCCCTCCCCCATGTTATTTTTTACACAGTCTGCATTGTTACACTTTCCGTTTGGTTTGCACTGTTATTTTATTGAAAGCTTTGCTCTTTGTTGGGCAGTAAGTAGGTAAACAAAAAGGTATTCTTATTTCTCCATGGGTTCAATCAAAATTTTACTTTTGGCTTTGTTACTGTTTTATAACAAAAAGCATTTAAAATCCAGTTTGGTCTA